TGGTATATCCAAAGCCCCTCCCTTGTTTCCTGCACAGCATGGAGCACTCCCGGCCCCCCACTTACCACACCAGAGACAGGGTATTGATCTTTGCTAATGTGCTTAGCTGTCTCTCCATTCGCAAGTAAGATTACTGAGGTAACAGTAGTAACCCCGGAGCCTGAAACATAGCTAAGTAACGTGTAAGATGTGAACAAGAGATTGTGGGTAAGTAGCCCCTTCCCTGTTCCCCGAGCCCTCCTTGGCTTTTCTGGCTTGGTGAAAACCTTTATCTATTCAGGAGAGTGGAATAAAGGCAAAGACTGACTGGTGCATGGCGCAAGGCTGCCCCCTGTGGAAGGTCTCCCTGATCTAGCCCGAAGGAGCTCTGGCTAACCTGTTTCCTTGATTGGCTCCCTACAGGATTTTGTGGGCTCCTGTTGTGGAAATGTTGTCATCCTTTCTATGTGCTGTGCTTCAAGACATATGCTATTATACGTGTGTGTGTTTTTCAGTGTGCACTGCGGGGTGTTCAAGACATAATAAGTCGCTTCATCAAATGCTTCTCTCAGATTCTTCCTCTGAATCCTCGAAGGAGCATAACAGCATTCAGGTAGTTACTATGCCAGGCTGCTCACTCCATGTTGTGTGTTCCTTACCATCGAGCTGCTCTGGGAGGCTGTAGACAAAAGAAGGGTGTGCAGGCTGTGGTCTTGTAAGCATTCAGAAAATTCTGTGTTTCTCTCTAACATCATGTAGTTCTCGTTTCAAACATGTGATGTCTGCTGACTGGATTTATGGGGTTTTATTTGTTTTTTGTTTTTGTGTCTTTTTTGGGCATGAGGATCTGGGGATCGAACCACAGCATCCTGAGCCTGAGTGCTTTGTTTAGCAGACACTTAAACAACTGAGCTAATGGACTGGTCCCCAATGTTTTTGTCTTTTTGAGACAAGGTCTTGCTGTACAGTTCAAGCTGGTCTTAAGCTCACCTTTTAGCCCAGGCTGGTCAAACTAGTAACAGTCCTCCTGCCTCAGCCTCCCAAGCACTGAAATTACAGTCCTGTGCCACCATGCCTGGCTTTGGATTTATGTTTAAGACAGTGCAATAACTATTGAGACTCTTAAGCTGGTAAGCATTCTTCACTTTTCCAAGAAACTTTTTCTCTTTGTTTCAGTTTTATTTATTTTTTGAGACAGGGGCCATGATTTAATGGGACCATGTCTCAGAATAAAAAATAAAAAAGGATTGGAGATATAGGTCAATGGAAAGGCCCTAATTCAACCCCCAGCAAGGAAGGAAGGCAGAGAGGGAAAGAGACAAAGTGAGGAGAGGACAGTTCTCATCACAATCCCCTTGACATAGGCAAGGACCTAACGCAACGAGTATACCTCCCGCAGCACCACTCCCCCAAATCCCCTTCTTCTGGAAGAGCTACAGAGGCCATCAACCCAGGGACATAATTATGCTTCTGTGGCTCTCAGGTTACCTGGCTTTCTCTTCTCACTGATTGCCTCGTCTGCCCCAGGCAGATGCAGGAAATCCCAATGAAGTCCACATTTCTTTCATTGTCATTCTCCACAGTAGATGGTTTTTCTGTTGTTTGAGGTGCTTTCTGAAGTCCTGAATGTATCTTAAGCTCATCTTGCAGCAAGATGTGTGTTAGGATACTTGGAATCTAAGGTAGTTCAGAGAAACTGGGAGATAGCTTGGGACCACTGGTACCCAGGTATCAATAGTTAAAAAAAAGAACTATAAAGCCAATGAGAATGAATGAGGACTTGAGAAGACAATAAAGTCCAGTATTTATAAGTACAAGATAAAAGGCAATCAAAAACACAGACCCTCAAGCTCACTGTTACATCACTTGTGTATTCCACGTGCTCACTTCGGCAGCACGTACACTAGAGCGCATGTGTTCCTCAGACAGCCCCAGCACTCCCTGATACCTACAAGGTATGCGTGCCTTTGTCCCAAAGTGTTCTTTTTAATTAAATAAACTGTATAGTAATTTGTCATGAGGTTCCAGAGCTGACTACTTATTGATTCCTCGTTAAAAAGCTAAAGGCAAGAGTGGCGCATTGCCGCAGTCTACAGCCTATGTATGACATGTTTTGCTTCTTGAATTTCTATTAGTTTACTAAAAAGCTCTAAATCCCAGTTTCACTTTTTGAATTTCAATGTGTAGAATTAAGTTCCCCTTTGAAAGATGATAATAAAATTAGAATTTAACTTAGAATATGGATAAATCTATGATTATGTATAAAAATCATCAAATTTTCCTTTAAAGACATACCCAAGAAGCAATGATTGCTTTGGAATTAATTTTAAATTTAATATAGTTCCATATTACTAATCTCAAATGCCCAGCCTATTAAATGTTGATGACAGTTCATAAATTAAGGATTAAACTACACATCTTGTCCCATTTAATTACATTCTAAAATCAAGCATGTCTGTTCATGCCCTGAGCTACAAATTGATCTTTGCTCCTTGGAAGTAGCAAGCACCACCTTGCCTGAATTGTTCACCGCCTTCGTGCCAACAAATTAGATCCATCTTTATTGCATCAGTAACAATGTTGTACGCCTGACCACATATCCACGCGCACATAGGCGAATGTGCGTATGTGTACCATGCGTACGTATATATATGTATCTTAGGTCTGTATATTTACTAGGGACATATATTCAGATACGGTCATCTGCATTAAAAGAATATTTAGGTTATGTTCAGCTTTTTGTGGATAGAAGGCAATGACTTAAATACATAGCAAAGATCTTTGAAATAATCTCCACAGGAGACTGCAACCCAGCCAGGCAGCACCTAGGAGCCATGCATGGAAGAAAAGGCAAGAAAAAGCCACACAAAATATGCCTTTATCATTTTTTTTTCTTTCATTTTTCTTTTGATTAGAGAAATTAGATTAAATTTTCAATGGTCAAGAGCTAAGGATGTAGCTCAGTGGTAGAGCACTTGCCTGGCATGTGTGCGGCTCTGGGTTCAATCCTAGCAACACAGAAAATAAAAATAACATATTTGAACTGATTTGGGAATTCATTTTTCAAAAACAGGCATGTTTCCAATTCACTAACAGACAGAGACATGAAATATTTAAAACACCTTCATAAAAACTCGATGAGAGCCAGTCTGTGAACGTGTCTAATGGAAGCCAGGTGTGTGACATAAATGCTGCATGCAAGGGCTCTGGTGACCCCCGAGCTCCCTCCCGCTCCACAGCCTGCCAATTTGTTAGCATTGCATTGATGTCACATACCATCACATACTTTGTCTTATTTGTTCTTCACAGTAATCTCATGTGGCGTAAGCCTTGCTCTGATTTTACCAGTACACAAATCTGGACTGAGAGAAGCTGCTCTGTCCAGGGTCTCACACAGTGAGGTCCAGAGTTCTCCTACCACAGTTGGCTCCATGCCCTCTATGACTGCTTTTTATATTAGAAGTGAATTAATCAGCACTGTCCCCTTGGTTTAGAGCAGCCCTTAGAATTATAAGATTCTGGGGCCGAGGAGATGGTTCAGTAGAATAAGCGCTTGCCTGGCAAGTGCAAGGGCATGAGTTCAACCCCTGGTTCCGAAAAAAA